GTTGCTATAAAGGGGCTTTCGAGGAACTAAATAGAGACATAAGTGTGTCCAGTTTAATTCAAAGATTCCATAACCATTTTCAGTTCCAATTCTGATTTCTATATATAGGCACTAGCTTGTCTGCTCTCCTTCCCTTTTCTCTCATCTTCCCTTCCTCCTTCCCCAATCCCAATTTTTGTGAAATAAAACTCAAAGACAACTGCATACACAACCCCAATCTAACGAGCACATCAATTTCCATTAGGTTTTTATTTTTATCACATACCTGAATATTGACGCTTGCTAATCGAAAGTTGAAGGCCTAAAAAGCGGAAACTTGACTTGAAAAATTAAAAATTCTACCTTTTTGTTATTCAGAGTTGGCATTTAGCAGCGATCCCGGTTCACAGATGACAACTACGCGCCATTTGGGAAGGAAAATAGTTATCAAATCTTTTTAGAGAAACTGGAAACAATTATGTACAAGCGTTTGTTTGATGTTTAAATCGCAAGCGGAGTAGAGCACTAGTTTTGGACGTAGATTGACTCTTTTAAGTTCTCACTTTTTACTTGTAGGGTGCATCTTCAGCAAAACGGATCTTTTTTCACAAATGCATTCATAATCCCCATCCCTATTTCGGCACTCAAATTTACATCCCGCATTGTTGCGGGATGTAAATATATTTTTCATTTTTCTATATTGGATCTTTTTACTTTCTATCTTTCTATATCTTTTTACATCTTTCTATCGTTCTATATCTTTCTACTTTTTTCTATATTTTTCTATCTTTTTAAATATTGCTATCTTTCTACATCTTTCTACATCTTTCTACATCTTTCTACAACTTTCTAATTTTCTACAACAGTCAAACTACTTAGAAGATTTTGATATTTAAATTCTACCCTAAAAATCTGTATTTCTCAATTTTCAGCTCCGACCCGAACATCGCGCCGATGCACGGCAACCACAATATGGGCTATTCAGAAGGAACTTTGCTTACCATTTAAACAACCAACAACTTCTACATAACGGGTGTCCAGTTTCATTCAAAGATTTGACAACCAATTTCGTTACCAATTCTGATTTCTATCACGCGCTTGCCTTATCCCCTTTTCTCACATCTTCCCTCTCCTCCCTCTCGATGTAAACTAGCGTTTTGAGTAAAGTTCTCTGAGAAGAGCTTCTTAGAAAACGCATTAAACAAGAGGAACACACTTTATAGATATATCCATTCCATTTTTTTTCCTTATTTAAGCCCCGTTTTCTTTAGTTCCTATAAAGCTCCTTCAAAGCTCCCTTAAAGCTCCTTTGTAGTCCTTATTTAGTTCCTATCCTTAGTTCCTATAAAGCTCCTTGAAAGCTCCTTCATAGTCCATATTTAGTTCCTACAATGCTCATTCAAGGCCCCTTGAGGCTCCTTTATAGTCCCTATTTAGTTCCTATAAAGCTCCTTGAAAGCTCATTGAGAGTCCTTATTTAGTTCCGCTAAAGTTTTATTTAGCCGATAATTTTCTTTTCCTCTCTACAAATAACATCGAGATGATTCACTGATCCACTCATTATCTTAAAGATTTCGATAATATAAATCTAAAATTATCTAGATATTAAAAATCGCTTCTCCTTTAAGGTTCTTATTTAGTTCCTATCTTTAGTTCCAACCTCCTTGAAAGCTCCTTCATAGTCCATATTTAGTTCCTATAAGGCTCCTTCAAAGCTGCTTGAAAGCTCCTTTATAGTCATATTTAGTTCCTATGAAGCTCCTTCAAACTTAGGGTTACTTCACTGTCGGAAATAGAAATTTTGCCTCTTATCTGCATAGATTTGGTTTTTCTCTCTAAATTTTGTTTGTTTGGTCGTCATGATGATCTGCCAAGACCACCATAACGATGAATTTCTTGGACTTACTTTTGTTTTTTTAAAATTCAATGCAGCTTTTGTTTTAATACTTGCAATTATATCTTTTCGATTCAATTAAAATTTTATCAAGTTTTTGATACAAATTTTTATCGCTTTCAATTCGTTTTCAATTTCCCTTTGTCGCTTTGGAGTGTCGTTTTGGATTCACATACCTGAAGATTTCCTAATTTGCTAATGCTAGTTTAGCTGTCCAAATGAGTACAACTCTATTAGAAGACTGCTACCAAATCATGTGAACTAAAAAGTAAAATGAATTAGACCTAGATAACGGGGATTAGGCTTGGATTGGAAAGCTCACAGAAACAATTTACAAAACAAGAGTTATTGCTTCAGCCTTTATTTGCGTCAGCTACCAAGCAACCAACGCACTTAGATCGAGTTTTTGATAAGATTTTAGGAGCCGAAAGGATCAGCAAAGAAAGACTAGTTTTCAATTCAATTCACCCAGAGATTAAATGCCTTTTTCAAATAAGTAATCCTTCAAATAATACTTTAGTTCATTATGTTGACCTTGGCAATATCAAACGCATTGATTTTTGAAATGAAATCTTATTCACGAAATGTTATTTATTTGTTAAGACTGTTTGTAGAATCTAGAAAGTCTACAGGCTAAGGCACAACCTTAAGAAAAAGAATTGGGAAACAAAACTGAAGATTATTTGAACGATCTAATTGCTAATTTAGAAGCTCAAAAAAGAGGAAGATTTGTAGAAGCAATACTAAAGCAAAATTATTCCCAACATTATAAAATCGGGGGAAAATGCTACCTTTTTGATGCTACCATTTCCATTTGGAAAATGCTATCATTTCCTATAAGCGAGCCAATCTTTATGACACAGCTACGGGAATTCTCGAATTTCATGGAAGTTTGAGCGTTTTCACTAGTATAAATGTAGTGTTGAAAAGGATATTGGCCCCTTAGTCACAATCTACTGATTGGATTCAACTGGGGGTTTTTCTGAGCGAAAAATCAGATCCTTGTAGGATTTCTGACCATGCAGAGTAATAAAAGTTTTCGAGATTGCGAAAGACGGTTTAAATCAACTTAAAAAGCATATCTTAGCAGAGCGACTTGTTGGCATGGTCTAACGTCTAACAGTTGAAAAGTACGAAATTCAGAAAAACTATATCAAAATTTAAAAACAAAAGAAAATAGCAGAACCGAGAGAAATCGGGTGGCAGAGGCGGTTGTTGTGGGCGAGATGCACGGCCACCTTCTCACCAGAGTAGAGGAGTAGGAGTAGACCTAAAAATAGATGATATCTTGATCTCACTTAAATCTAAAAACCCAAAAACTCACAAGAAATATTGTGTCTTCACCAAATTACGATTTCGCCGGCCAGCTGATCGATGATCAGCGAGAAGACTTTGCGCACGTTTGTGGGATCCATTCCTGAAATTATGAAGTTGGAACGGTTTTGAGCCTAAAATTATGCAGACCCACCATAATTAATCTCATCCACGTGGCAAAAAGGTCCTTTTCAATCATTTTATATATGTCGTAGTCGATTAAGGATTTCAGCCGAAGAAGTCTCAGACTTCTTCGGCTAGCCGATTAAGTCTCAAAATTGAAATGTTGAGTTATGTATTGATTCAAATCAACGCGACAAATTCAAGCTCTCTAAAGGGCGCTTGAAAGCTAACGCATTCTAAAGAGCGCGCATTTTATCATCATGTAACCAACATTTCATTTTTGCTATAAAAGGGCCCTTTTCGTCATTTTCTATCTGATCATTTTGAAATAGAATTGTTTTGTAAGTCAATTTGCCCCTTTGTTGGATCAGCGATAAAACTTGTTTGCCACTAATCTGTTTATAATTGAACATAACCCCTTTCCTATGTTTTCTTTTTGTTACTGTGCATTCTTTGTTTATACTACACTAATTTTTGTTTTTTAGGAATGGAGAAAGAATTCCACCGACAGTTTTCTGGCTTTCAATCAAATCAGAAGTGCAGTTTAATCGAGAAATCTTTCGAGCGAGAAATACGCAAAATCGTCATCGTTCTCCAACAATTGCCGAATGAAGACTTCAAGCCATCAAAAAAAATACAAAAACTTATGGCGCGATTCTCTCTTCGATACGAAATGAATCAAGAGGTGCTTTACAATCATGGGATTAAAGGCGATTTGGACAAACCAAAGAAAGTCGTTAAGGCAGAGGAGGTCCTTGACCTGTTAACGACCACTCACCAACGACTTGGGCGCGCCGGACGAGATATAATGTGGCAAGTACTACGAGACTATCATGGGATCTCAAAGGAAATAAAACTTTTGTCAAGTCGTGCGCAGAATGCGAGCTCAAAAAGGAACACCAAAGAAAGGAATGGTCAATTTGAAGTTGTCGATCATCTAATAGAAATATTCACTAAAATCATAAAATAGAAAGAATTCCAGAAAGGACAGAATTGCGACGGCCTGGTGAAAACGGTGCTGGTCAACACGTTGACTCTTCAATCATTGTTGGCAGTTGCGTCTGGAAAATGATTCTTAAAAAGTCAACATTTGCCAAAAATAAAGAAACCGATAAAACAAATGATACCTGGGTTAGATCGACGTTTTGGCGGAGAATCTCGTAGCCACGCAGCGTGCCCAGCTTCACCTAGATTTACAATTTACTCGGATGCTTTTTGATCTCGATGATAGCTACCTGAATACATAACTTAACACCTAACCGTTTCAGGCGTAATTAATTTTAATAAAAACAAGCTTTTGAATCAGGCTTAGTCTTATTTTAAAGTTGGATTGTTCTTGAACAGGGCAACCAGAAATGCGCGTAGGTGGATGGACCTGGGTTCCATAGAAAGGCCAGTAATCAGGGTGGAAAAGTTTATGGTTCTTGAAAAGAAGCTTCCTTTCCTGTGCTAGTCTTGCAGCGATAAAACTTACATGATACATACGAAACCTGAGGAACATTTTCCTTCGAAAATTCTTGGAGAAGAGGCAGAAAAGAACAAAATTCGATACCTAGATGAGAGTTTTTTGAAAGCAGAGGCACTGACCTTTCCCCACAGCAGAACCGAGTTGATGATATTTGACGAAATGTAACGAATTTTTTGATTTGGCACAACCGGTGCCAATGAAAGAAACTGCCAAATTGATTCAGCCAAATCCCACACAAATGGTAAGCATGAGGGAAACTAGAGAAATTTGTCACGACTCATTAAAAATTAGATTGCTCGCAAAGGGAAAATTCAAGCAGTGGGAAAACTTTTAGACCATCTCAACTCACATGTGTGAAGATGTGACAGGTGATAATTGCCACCACTGTTTGCGTCACTTTCCGTTCTTGCCTTTGGCGGATTCCGATCTCAGTGCGGTTTCTATAATTGAAGAATCGTGTTAGTCGTCCAAACTTGTCTGACCTACAATTCAGCTTCAATCTTCAAGTTCAAGTTAAATCAAAGTTTCGCGTCTTTTATGTTGTTGATAAATGTCAGAAAACTCACTCACCGCTTCCTAAGTATCCGAATAATTAAGAGATTGAAGAGAGTAATGAAGATTAGTGGGACGAGGACGACTGAAAAAATCGAGATTATCTTTACCACCATGAAGTAAGTGCCTTTATGTGTGATGAGACGCGCATACTCCCAGATACTGTAGCATCTGGCAGCTAGCTGAAATCACCTTTACGTAGAAATCAAGAAATTTAAAGTCTGTTGGGAATCTAGTCTCTAACGCTTGACGCTTGACAACTTCTCTAAGACTGAAAATATTCAAACCTCAGTTGACTAAAATTTCCTTTAGAAAATAGAAATAGATAGAAAAATATTAAAAATAGAATCTAGTGGGTTTCAGGCGAAGAATTCCACAATTTAATAATGTGTTAATTCAATGGTCATTGTCTTGTTAAATCTGGCTTGTAAACTAATTTGGCTGAAACCTAGAGGTCTAAGAATAGGAACCGCCAAAATTGAGCTTTGAGTAAAATAAACTAGAATAAAATTAACAAAAAGTCAGAGAATATTTTATTTGATACATATTTCCATTCGGGAACAAAGAATTCTAATCAAAAAAGCAAAAAAACGAAATTTCAGGCATTAGCCCCTGGGCCTTCGCTGGCGATGATCTGTATACAGCACAAAAAAAGTCGGGTGCAGAGAAATAATTTGCTCATTGTTTAGAGAGGAGTGAACTGCAGTATAGCAAAAAAAGCGGATATGGCTGAGCATAGATATACAATCAGCCACCTGATAGAACTCAGTGAGAGAAATTATGAGACTTTACAATATCTATCACTTAGAATTTCGACTTTTAAGTAAAACGATCGCTCTGCCAAAGCATATCAATCGTATTTCGCAAGCAAAAGGTAAAACCTACCTTTGGGCGTGGCATCTTTCCGATATCTGGATGATACTCATAAGTATGCTCCAAAAAATGATAGAATGACACGCCAATAGCACCTGAAATTTTGCTTGATTTGGACAGGTAGAAATGAATGAGTCACTTATTTAATCTAGCTGCCAAGATTCGACAGGTTCTAGACCAACGGGGCTAGCCTACTTAAAGGCAAAATCTACGGTAGTCCAAAAACAACTTTTTAGCCGTTTGAACAACCCACCGAAAAGGATCAAGATGATCGACAGTAACACACGCGAATTGCCCCACTGTAATCGAGCGTGCATCGGCGACCGAATGCCGCTGAACCTGAGATACAAGGCAGAATATCTTTAGAATAATGCAAGTGAAACACCACAAAGTAATCTAAAATTTCTAATCAAAGAAGCAAAAGAAAGCGAAATCTCACACATTAGCCCCTCGGCAAATCCCTTAGCGGTGGTCCGTATCCCTGGGGATTTAAAGGCAGAAGTGTAAAAATGAAAATACTTTATACTTCTTGATCTTTCGATTCATTTTACCAAATCTTTCCCTATCTAACGAACCTTTCAAACGAGACAGCCACGGCTAACCACGAAGCAGACGCCGAGAAAATGTTTGACATTGAATGAAAAAAAACATGGGTTTTATAGAAAAATTCTCTAAAATAAACTTTGGTTATCTCACTTCTTATTTCTTGCACCGAAATGGTCTTTTTCTCTTTAGGTTTGTAGTATTTGTCTCAGAGAATGGTGCTTTCATAGTTGGTTGGTGAAAATTGCAGGGCTTTGAATTAAGGCTAAGACGATGCACTAAGAGCAAGTTAATGATACAAATCTTTTAATGATAATTTTAGCGGTTCCTATGTTTAGACCAGTAGCTTCCAGCCAAATTAGTTGACAAGCCAGATTTAACAAGAGAATGACCGTTGAATTAACACATTATTAAATTCTGGAATTCTTCGCCTGAAACCCACTAGAAGCAATTCTATTTTCTAAAGGAAATTTTAGTCAACCGAGGTTTGAATATTTGCAGTCGTTATTCAGCGGAAATCTTTACAATTTAAAACCTTTTCACAAATTGTAACTTTCGCCATCAAAAATATTTTCGGGATAAAAAGCCACGCGCCGCCATCAAAAATCTTTTGGTGGCCAATGTAGAACTACATAAAAACAATCGTAGCGTCAAACCCTTGGCCGAGAAATCGTTTCACTGATCTGAAGCTTTTGAGCTTCAGATCAGTTTCTATAATACTTTCCTCTACTTCATTTCTAGCTAGTAAAGTGGAAGTGAATTTTCGGCCATAGCATCGGCATCTTCAAGTAAATGTCTGGTCAGAATTGACTCCTGAAAAATATTACGATCAGAAGAGTCTCGAGATACCAAGACTCGAACGTAGGACGCTTTTTTCGAAAAGATTATTTAAAAACAAATCAAGCCAAGAAGATCAAGCTTATAAGTCAATAAACCATCTAATTAAACTCTTAAATTCAAGCAAAAATAACAAGGAAAGTAAGGAGAGAAAATTGTTAAGGAAGTCAATTGATCGAATTAGCCTTAATCCTTTCGCATAGATAGCCGAACTTTGACTGAGATTTTCACCATTCATACACTGTACTAGGATCTTGTTAAATAGGCATTGAATATGATCCTAGTGAACGGTAACGTCCTGACGGTAAACCTAGATTCTGAGTTTTGATCGGAAGTTTTGATCGGAACTATCATTCAACGCTGTGTTTAAGAGCAACTACAAGTTGATCGATAAACTATACGCTGAGATACTGAGAAAAAGAAAAGTTATCAAAAGTACAGTCCTAGCTTTTTAGCTTTTTTCCAACAAAAATTTTTTTTTTCTAAAAATCTTTTAAGAACACTTTTCTAGGCATAATTTTGGCCCAGAAGTTCGAATCCGTCGAAAAAAATCAGGGATCACCCAACGAAAAAACCCTCTTATACAAATTGCTTTTTAAATTTGCTAATTAAAATTGTTCTAAAAACCCACCTCTTAAATTCGTGAAATTCAATAGCTTTTCTTTGTCCTGAAAATTTGAAATCATTCATTTAAAACCTGTGGATTTTACATGGTAAAAAGGATAAAGCCAAAATCTACTGGTTTTCCATTGGATTTTTTTGCTATTACTAAGCTCATTAAAAATTTGATTTTTAATTACGTCAGAAAAGGAAAGTATAGAAAAAAAACAGGTGTGATTTTAAAGGAAAACGTCTGGAATGACTTGTGATAGAACGAAAAGGAAAGCTTCTAATGAGAAAAAAGGCAGAGATTATCGCATTGTCACAGACTCAATTTTGAGTCTAGACCTTGAAATTCCCATTGTATTGGATGGAGGATTTGAGGAGAACAAATGAAAGAGCTGGGGAATGCTCGGGTTTTGTTCAAGCTCAGGTTCATTTTTCGTTCGATTAAAGTTAGAGAAATAAAGAAGACAAATTAATATGCAAATTAGCTAATATAATAGATTTTATTAATGCGTTTTCGCACTTTATTTCTTTCTGAATAAAGTATTTATATAAAGGATTTATCTATAAATGATTTATTTATAAATGATATAAATTATTCCACTAGCATTTAGAAATGAGAAACAAATTCGCACGGAAAACTAACGAAAAGCCATTTTTTGAAAACGTGAAAACATCCATTTTTTGGCTCTGCTGCCCTTTACTTTACTAAAATAGCTGTAAAATCTTTTAGAAAAGAGATATCTCAAGACGGTTTTTGTACCCATCGATCTGTATTGGATTCATCTTTAGCATGAGCTATAAAACGCATAAAAGATATCAAGGGTGAGAGAATTTGAACCGAGAAAGATTGAAGAAAAAGATCACCAGAAAGGCGAGAGTTCAATATTATTAGAGATTAATGTTTTCAAAAATGAACATGTTGCGGGCTGTGCATTGGCAGATGAATGGGTGGTGATGGCCAACAAACAGATGCCAAATGTGTTTTCCGCTGGGGCTTGTCTCAGTCTTAAAGCGAAAAGTAAAATCTATTAGCCTTTAAACCCCTTTTTGGTCCCTGGCTCTCGTTCTTCCCAAATCCAAGCGTTCTAATTAAATCTCGCGCTCTAGGGCAATATCCGTCAATGCCAATGGCTTCATGGTAGTAAAAAGGCATCCTCAGACAAGAATGTGTTATTTGTTCGAAAACCATCAACAATGCGCCAACAACAAAGTTCGGGGATGCCTTAAAATTATTTTACTGAAAAGTCATGTATTAAAGGTAGTGATTATTCCAAAGGTAGTGATTATTCATAATAATTGAAAGATATAAATCCAGTGTTATAGATGCGATCCGTCTAAAACATTCTAATTAACTCTAATTAACTGTCTCGACTCTCACGTTCTTGGATTTTTTAGAAACTTAAAAACGAACGTCGATTCTGATCCAAGGAGGGGCGGCCAAAGTCGGATATAAGGGTAAACAAATAGCGATGGTGGTATTTCCCAATTTTTCGGTTTTGGGTGACTGTGGGAACATGAAGCACAAGGTGGCCATTGAAAAAAATTGATAAACAAAGGCAAAATGCACTAGGTTACGTTGCCAACGACTTCGAACCAAAACTATTGCTCGGGTGTGACCAGTGTCTTGTAGGTCTGATCGAATATAGCTATTTTTTAGTTTAAAAATTTTCCAAAGTGTTAAGTCGTTTGTCGGAAATCACCATGTAGGTGGTGCTGGTTTTGCGAAATCTGGCGCTGGAGTAATCCGTTCTCATTGCTTTCAGGATTAGAATACATTTTGATGTCATTCTACTTTTTTACATTAGATCGGCTATTTAATAATTCTGCTATGCAATTCGAGGCTATGCAATGTGAGGTTACAGGGGATCGAAGAAAGATACAAATTTGAGTTGCTTAGCATGTTTACAGGAAAGCATGGTTATGGGGGATTGGAGGGGTGCAAATCAGCACCAATATCAGTGCCATTTTAGCCGCGCATTTTATCCAATTCATTGGCCTTGTACAGAGCGATTGATTTGTGCTGGATAAGAGGTGATGTAGAAGGACATGAAGACTGAGGCAAGCCTGGACTTTCACGAAGAGATTATAGCAATCCAAGAAATGACCGATAAATAGAGAATCAAATGTTAGAGAAAATCGCTTTAAATTGAGGTGCTAATAAAATTTTAGACATCTACTTTGATGGTCCCATTAAAACTTATTTAGAATTTTTACGATAACTATTTTTGGAAAGCAAGATGCCTCTATTAATTCTTGACACTCTTTTTAGGTTTGATCTCAAAAGAGAAAGTTTTGAAATGACGACTCAAAAGAGTCGCCATTTCAAAACTGAAAAAAACGTAATCATTATTCTCCCGATTGCTGTACATGTGAAAGAGAATACCGAAAGAGAATGTCTAACAAAAAAAGACAAGAAAATGACGGTAAAGATCTGCAATATTTCGCATTAGCTTCCGCACAATTTTATTTGAAGGATGTCTTAGCCATCTTCAGAGCACAATGATTTATATAGACTATTTTCTGAGGGCACTATTTTCTGATTTGAGGATCGCTTTTAGTGTTTGGAAAATGAAAATAGAGTCAGATTTGTGAAGAATTTTAATTTTCGGTAGGTTGAGTTGAGATTCGTTAGACTTTTAATTCTCGTATCCCCTTACAGAGATTAGAAACCCCTGGGGAGACCGAATTTTTCGCATCGAAGGTTGTCGAAAAGGTGTAGTATCCATCTGTCCAAAATAGTTTTGAAGCAAAATAATAATTAACCCCTAAAGATTTCCGGCTACATTTCAAGGAATTATAAAATATGAAAACCTCAAATGATCTAAAAGGTAAGTTACGTATGCTATAATATTAGAATCTACACAAAATTTGACTTTAGAAATGTTCTATTTGTTTCATAGACTTACCAATAAAAACCTAGATAAAATTAGGGTCAAAGTCGGATAAGCCTTCTACAAAGCCTTTTCAGTATTGAAAGCCTTTTTTTCAAATAAAATTTCAACTAAAATAGTTCTTTGTGTTCTAAATAGAATTCTTCTACCTCTAAATATAATTATTTTCTCCCAAAGATAGATCGGAAAAATGGCAGAATGAGTTGAATAGTTCCTATTTTTAGCTCCAGACCAGAGGTCTGGTGTAGTGGTTATCACATCTGTCTAACATACACAAGGTCGGCGGTTCGGCCCCGCCCGAGATCATTTTAATTTTTCAAATTTGTCCGCCAATCGCTTTGCTTTTTTAACTACCAGAGGTAGTTTTTGATAGTAATACGAAAAGGTGAACTAGATAGGCTGGTCAAATGACTTGAGCCATAGACCTATCAACGCAGAATTTCACGCTGAATCCGAATCTGCTAAATAGCACTCTGTCAAAAGTTATGAGTATCCAAAGTTTTGTATGGGGTTTTAAAAAACATCCCTTTAGTTTATAAGCAGATTTTTGAAATAAGGCTGCTATTAATGTGCTCAAACGTTCTTATTTCAGGAGTGAGACGTCGATCGGTTGGTTCGTTTCTTGTGTGATGAGGCGCGCAAGCTGAAACCGGATTTTGTTAACTTTTTAAAAGACTGTTTCGCCATCATGTACAGAGTGCGGCATAGGTAGCCAATCTTTAGGTATCCAATCTTTTACAGAATTGAATACCTG